AATGGAGCCCTATTGTTGATTTGACAATCATCACGTGGTTAAATTTGGTGGGTCATGTAGTACACAAATGATTGTCAAATTAACAGTACTAACATGAAATTATTTTGAAAATGTTATATATTGGACGTTTTTTTAAAAAAAAAAACTTTATTTATTTGTTATTGCAGGAGCTTTTATCGTTGCTCAAATTCCCCATGATGCCTAAACTTAAGAAGTTGGTCATCGTTGAAACTTTACGTGGTGTGGACTCGAGTCTTCTTGGCGTAGCTAATCTTATCAGTGCATCTCCCATCCTGCAAGAGTTTGAGTTAAAGGTTGGTCTTTGTAAATATTATCCCTGCTATCTCGTCATCATTGAATGGCTTTACTACCTGTGTTTGTTGTCGTATATTATTTATAGGTGTTAACCTAGTATATGAACTTATTTTATTTTCACTTGGTATGGGCAGCAAAGCTGGGCTAAAGTTGAAAGGTCAAACAACGAGATTCAGAAGGGATTGAAGCACTTCCCACTGCACCAGCATCTGAATGTTTTTCGTTTTTTAGGTTATTACGCTTGCCCGAGTGACGTTGAATTAGTGAACTACTTGTTGGAGAACTGTGTCGCGCTTAAGGAAATCATTGTTGATACCCAAACTCACCGACGTGTGGCCTACGGTCCACTTGATTCTAAACAATTAGAATTGGCTGAAAGAGCGAAGGGTTACGCCAAACAGCAGCTGGAGCCACTAGTACCTAACCACATTAGGTTATTTATATGCTAACCATTTTTGTGTTTAATACTCTTGTTTTCTTAATAATTTAGGCTAGAACCTGGTGTGATTTATTCTCTGTCTTGTGTTTTTGTGACTTTATTGTTTATTACTATTATGGAATGATACTTTGCTTTTGTTGTACTATCTTGCATGTGAATATTTTTGGCATCAGCTTATTTGGGGTTGTGTGTATAGGTTCTCATCCCATTCTTCATGTTAAATGAGTTATCTTCATAGGTCTTGTTCGTTTGAGTCTAAAAAATAAAGTGGTTATGATATATTTTCCACCTCTTCTAATTAGTGTTAAGTCTCAAAAATAATATGGTTATAATACATTTTCACCTCTTATAATCAACGTTGTTTTTCAGCCAAAATATTAAATATGAGCATGTTAGAATATATATATATATATGTATATGTATATATATAAAAAAATAAGAATAACCATTAGTGAAATTTTTTTGGAGCATTTAATGCATACCTCTTTTAGAAACATTTTAAATATATGCATTAATTGCTTCCATATACACGTTTTCAAATAAGATCAAATCGATATGATCAAAAATATTATTTTCTTAAATAATTTTTTTAATATTTACAATAATTTTATTGATATCCATTATAATAAATCATAAGATTGATTTTCCATGATTTAGGTTGATAATATTTTTAGTCAAGATAAATATTAGTACAACATATTTTTAATTAGAATTGAAAATATATTAATTGTTCTTCAAAATATATTTGTATATTATTGAAACCCATGAATATTTTTTTTTATTATTTTTTTATTTATTTATATAATCAAATTCTTGTAAAATATATTTACATATATATTTGTGCTTTTAAACTTGAGGTATGTTTCTTGAAAGCCTGTGCTTGCACATTTTCTGAGTGTTGATGTGTATCTGGTTTGCAGAACAAGTGAGGTCTAAATGACCAAGAATTATATATGCAGATTTGTATCAGGTAATCTCATGTATGATTTAAAGGTTGCATGGTTTGGCTATTGTATGTTAATCAAATTAATCAACATGGTACAATAATTAGGAAATGTAATGCTAAAAATCCAGCTTAAGATAATAGTCTTTGGAGGTATCATAAAGTGGCTTAAGCAAGAAAATCAACATAGACAATTACCATTTGATGCCTCAGTATCCTCTCTTTAATGTTGGCAGATTATCATTACATCATTTGATGATACTGATAAGAACGAACGAACATCACCATCCTTGGACTGCCCCGGTTGCAATTGTAATGACACTGAATACCTTCATGTTGACACTGCCATCGTTAGAAAATGCATTTACTAAAGCACATTCCAATGGACTAATTACTCTATGTCTTCTATTATTCAGTCATCAATTCAATGTATTACTTGAAATAAAAGTTTGTGCGAAAACTATATGAAAGTCATGAATATATTTTCTTTTTCTTGCTATAATCTGTTGTGGTGGTGTAAAATGCTCTCGGCCTTTTTTACCTGGCCATAAGATGACTGAAGTTGAATTGTCAGAACATAGAACAAACATACGTAACTCTCTCTATTTGTGTCCAGAGTTGTTTATTTTGAAACTTTTACAAAAGTAGACAGACATGTTTAAGAATGTCTCTCTTCTAAATGATACCGTAACAGGTTCTCCAGTTAAATTGCTTTAATGTTTGTTGTCAGTATGCTACCATATAGGTTTTCGAGTTGATCCCTGTACAAAGTCCGTTACTGCTGAGCAATTGGCCTTCCTGTGGTAATCAAAACATAAGTCATATATTACTGATTGTGCATAATGTTACATCAGTGAAAAAATGGAAAAAAAAAAAAAAAA